GGGAGGGGGATGGGGGGGAGGGACCTGATGGCCCAGCGAGCCGCGAGGCGGAGGTGCCCGGCGCCCACCGAAGCGAGGGGTTCAGAGGGGCCCCGGGCTTGTAGCGGGATGTTGAGGGCGCTGGGGCTTGGAGGGAATGGGGCCGGGGGAGCAGGCCCAGAAGGGGAGGCCGTGCTGGGGGGAAGGATGGGGGCCCGCGGAGGTGAAGAAGAGAAGCCAGATGTGTGTGCAAAGCGGGAAGCAGGGGCTCGGGCGAGGTACCGTGGGAAAGAGGGTCTGGCGGGTCCGGTGTGTACCAAGGGGGGTGGGAGGGGACCCGAGAGAAACGGAGGTAGCTGTCATGTACGGGGTGGAGGGAGAGGGGTCTTCGCGGAAGGGAGCAGTCGTACGGGGGTTCTGGGGTATAGGAGGCGGGCAGTTAAGGCACTAGGCGGACGTGTAGGTGAGATGGAGACCTGGGATTTCCAGTGAGGAGAGGGCAGGCCGACCTGGTGGGGCTCAGAGTAAGGACAGGACAGAGGAGCCCGCAGTGAAAGTGGGAAACTGGGTTAGTGGGGCTCAGGGAAGCGCGAAAGAAGTGAGAGGCTGCGGATGTGAGCGGAGATGCGCAGGCCCTCCCGGCATCCAGTGGAGACGGAGATCTGGGAGGCCGAGGAGAGGGGAGAGGGTGCCAACGGGGCCGAGGCTGGGCGGTGGACAGGAGGAAACGGCAGATTAGAGAAATCCCGGAGGCCAGTGTGGGTAAGAGAGGCCGTGCAGGCGGGCAGGGAGACAGCTGCTGACCTGGGCTGCTGGGGGGACCGAGGAGAAAGGGCAGGTTGGGCGGAGACTGCGTTCAGCGGGGGTGTGCCCGACGCTGCTGGACGCCCAGATCTGGCAGCGTTGCTTTTGTAGGGAGGTAGGTCAGTGGTGCAGAGCTACCAGCCGTGAGAATGGGGGCGCTTTCCCTTTTAGGGAGCGTTGCCTAAAAGGAAGTGGCGATTTTAACTTATCTCCCCTCCGCCGCTCCCAGCAGCTGCTCCAGATGCTGCTGCTGCCGCCGCGGCCACCCCACCCTCGGTCCTCCTCTCCGGAGGCCATGGACCCACCGCCCCCCAAGGCTCCCCCTTTCCCCAAGGCGGAAGGCCCCTCCTCCACTCCTTCCTCGGCGGCGGGGCCCAGACCCCCGCGGCTGGGCCGCCACCTGCTCATCGACGCCAACGGGGTCCCCTACACGTACACGGTGCAGCTGGAGGAGGAGCCTCGGGGCCCACCCCAGCGCGAGGCGCCCCCGGGAGAGCCTGGTCCCCGCAAGGGCTACAGCTGTCCAGAGTGCGCCCGTGTCTTTGCAACCCCCCTGCGGCTGCAG